GGTGCAAAAGCCAGAGGGCCTAATAGACAGATTTCTAAACTTTACTCTTAGTTCTACCTCCTTGATCGTGCCCGAAGTCTGGAGAAAATAAATGAAACAGTGAGCTCTGATTTGTGGGTTTTTAATAAAGAGGTGGAAGTTCATGTGTTTACTAGAACATAGTGACTCTGCCTTTGTCTTCATTCATCCATCATTTATTTGAGGTACACATGTTGTAGGCCCAACACTGTGTTGTGTTATATTTTACAATAATAAATAAATAGAAAGAATTAGTATCGTAAAAGTTCTTACAGTTAGCATAACATCCTCTCTTCAACAGAAGGGCTATCCAAGCTCGTGCTTGTGTGTGCTTGGACACAAGGTCCTTAGCCCAGACTGCTCAGGATCGGCAAGATAAATTCCTCACAATTTCATCTTAAAACTGTGCTAACAGAATAAGCCCATCAAGGACGTATCTTCCAACTGTGCTGGAGGGTTTGAAGAATTGATAGCTCTTAGAGAGAGGTTAGGAATTTTCATAAAGCACTCACTGTTACAGCTTCTGGTCACTGTCTACCTACTTTTAACTTGATTTGCCATGCTCATACTTTTATAATAAGAATATTGCCATTTTCACACTTTCATTGCCTGCATTTGTATACCAGTTTTGCCATTTCATGAATGTGAAGAATTTTTTGAACTGTCATTTTCAATTGTGTAATTGCTATAATGCTGATAACAGTAATACCTACCTCACATAGTGTGTGATGATTAGGAAGCAGATTATAATGTAATTCAATTTAAAAATTTTTTTCTATGTTAAAATATAATTCAATTTTGAATTACATTTTTGCGGTTTAGTCTTTCATCATGCTCCCAAATAGGATTAAGATGAAGGAGTCTTCCACTTTTCCAATGCTTTCGGGCCACAAAAATCCAGCTGTTGGACCCTCTGTGATAAACCAGATACACTCTGTCTGTTTGCTTTTTATGAAGTGAAGTGTCTCAGTAAATTTTTCTTGGTCTTCAAATTTGTTATCAAATTTAGTATACTTTAATGTTTTCAGAAAAGTACATTTTAAAATCTTTTTGTGTACATCTAACTTACTTATTATTAAAAAAAATTGAATTAAGAAATTTAAAAACATTAAGCACTCTGTCATTTGCTAATTCCATTACAGAAATGACTGGAATAATCGCCTCTTTAATTCCAATAGTAGAGACTTGTCTCTCCCTTTAAAACATTATGTAACATGGGGCAGAAAATATTGACCAACTTAAAACTAACTGCAAGTTTCCCTGACTTGACAAGAGATAGTTCCCATATGAGCTGGTATGATATTCATGGAGTCTGAAAAACAGCTGTTCTTATTTTCCAGTGTTTGTCACCCTATATGGATCTTGTCTCTGTAGTACTTTTAGTTTTGAAAATAAAATATTTTGAATTGACATGTAGTATTGAGTCTAATTACAACTCTTGTCGGTCTCATACTAAAAAAAAAAAATTAAAGTACGTATGTTTTCAAGTCTTTAGGCATATTTAGTATGTACATACTAAAGCCGGAAAAATAAAAATATTTCCCCAAATAACTTAATCATGAAATTGTATGCTGAAATCCCTGGAGTCCTCAACACATTATCCGCATTACTTCCTATATTATTGTTGCAGACACCTTAGAAGTGTCACCATCTGTATATTAATTTCTTTTTTATATTTTATTTTTATGATTATCAGTTCATGCTTGTGGTACATGATGATTACATTCATCTTGGGGAATTAGTACATGTGCATAACACATCTGAATTCCTTTTTGTATCTCCCTGCCCTCTCTTCTCTTTGCCATCCATCCATCTCTTGATCCTCTTCACCTTTTGCAAAAGAGCTATCTCCCTGTTTCCTATTCCCTCTCTTTTTCTCTCTCTCAGCTTCTTAATTTGTTTATCTTTTGTGTTTCTCATATAAGAGAAAATGTGATATTTAAGCTTGTGTAACTGATTTATTTCATTTAATGTTGTGTTCTCAAGGTACATCTATTTGCCTACAAAAGACTGAAATTTAAAAATATCTTAAAATAACTACAATTTGCTTTTTATTGTGTAATTCTTACATCGTTTGCATATACATCTTCTCCCCTTGGGAGTTAAAAGGTGAAAAAATAGGAAATATATAATCATGTTTTATTGATCTTTGTGTGATATCGGGTATACACACTTGTTAACTGACTGACTGGAATGTAAAATTAAAGAAAATGTCTATGTACCAGAGTATTTCTTACATTAAAGTAACACATAAATGGAACATAAACTACAACTGAAATAAATGATGGGAAAGAATAAAAATCAATTAATGAAAACATGGAGTTGGCTAGAGGGCTATTGGGACAGAAAGCATAAAAATAATTGTACTTAAGAAAGAATAAGCTAGGGGCTGGGGATTTAGGTCTGTTACATAAGCACCTGCCTGGCAAGTGCAAGTTATGAATTCAATTCCTGACACCAACCCCCCCCCCAAAAAAAAAAGAAAGAATAAACCAAGAAGTTTTCAAGATTATTTACAAAAATGTAGTGTTTTGATTGTATATGTAAAATATAATAAAATGTTCAAAATAAATTAGTATATTAACACAAGCAATCAAAAAATACTTTCATCCTGTCAGTTGGTTTGTTGAAAATTTTAAGCAACAGTATTTGGATTAACATGCTGGCTTTATACTGGGGAAAGAGATTGTTTACGTATTTTGTTACTAAAATGAGTTTAACATACTTAACCCATGTTCAGAGAATTGTTTCTGATTGAGAAAAATTATGGGATGAAAAAGGAACTGGAATGTGAATTCTACAGCTCTCTTAGAGTCTGTGCTCATGAAAAGAATTTTATTCAGTGCATGCAGTTTTGCCTTCAGGCAGAACACTACATTGTATTTTATTGTTCAACAGACAGGATGATTCTTAGGAAATACATAATTATTTATTGAATTAAATATAAGGAAAGACAGTGAATAAAACAACCTAGTCTCCTAAACCCACTTGTTGTGGCTGATACTAAGAAACACATCATTCCAATGACTTTTCTGCGCATGAAAAGGTTAAATAAAGTCACTTAAGATACTTGTAGTGTGAGTACATTCAAGGGAGCTAATGATAATATTAAACATTAAGCAGAAGGAACAAAAACCTAAATCCTGTAAATGGACAATGGAAAAGAAGTACATGAACTTGAAGAAAAACTCCATACAATTTTCTACTCAAAATGGTGAAATAAAAGTGTTCTTACCCTTCTCTCTAAAATCTCGTCACAAAAATAAACTTAGGAAGAAATAAAAACAATTAATATGTGAGGAAACTAGAAGAAAGCTAGATGTCCAGGTGTCAGAACACTGAAAAGTGGTAAGGTAACCAAGAAGGTAAAACCCGAATGCTTACCAAGGAGATGGCACTGGACAGCCAGTGGAGAATTCCAGAAGGCTTTTTGACTTAAAATAATGGGTACAATTACTATAGAACAAAAAGGTGGAAATGGATACCTCAAAGTATCCATAATAAAAATTTAGAATGTTAACTTTCTGTCTCCCATCAGTGCCTGCATCTCAATCCTATGGGAGACATGAAATATATGCTCTGGATAGATCAGTGAGCCCAGGGTTGGAGGTGTCAGATAAAGGACTTCTTTTTGAAGGGAGATAGGGGATTTCAAAGCAGGAGAGGGAGAAAGCTGAGCTCATCTTGAGGGGGGAAAAATTCTTAGATACAGTTTAGAGCCCCTACTGGCTAAAAAGATAGATTAGCTGATTAGTCTATTACCTGGTTAGTCTACTATATTAATTTTTGGTATAAATATTATTTGTGATAACACTGAATCACATAAATATGTTAACAAACCTTTCAATCATATGGCTTAACAAAATAGAGGTGATTGTCGTAATCAAATGAAGTCCTATAGTGCAGGCTGCTTTGTCCTGTCTTGCAGAGCTTGTGGTCTCTGAAGTCCTCATGGCATTGAGGAGTTGAGATGAAAAAGGAAACACACAGGTTTTTAACTGTTTCAGTCCAAAAGTGACATGCTATCAGTCGATTGTTAAGTATCATTCAAATGGGAGACTTCAGAGAACACATGGTATATCAAGTAGCCACTGACTTTGCTACAGCTCTACAAATAAGTCGTTGAAGGACATTTCACTCTATTTCTGTGCATCAGCCATAATTTTTTGTTTGTTTTACTGAACAATTAAAGCTCACTTTAAATTCGAAAACTAACACCTATTTCCTCCTTATATGATCTAGCACTGACAGGACAAAGAATACAGATATAATACATACTATATGGTCTCTGATCTCAAGGTTATTGTTCCACTGAATCTCCATTTCACACTGGCTTTGAAATAATTTCCAGATCTTTTCCTCTTAATGTTTGTATTGATGAGTGTAACAGGGCCAGCTAATCAAAGATTGTGTAACAAGGTATTGATTTATAATCTACCGGATCTGTGGCTCTCACAAATATTTAATTTCAAATATCTCCCCTGTCTTTTGAAAACTGTTCCCTATTTCCTTTTGAACTAAAATAATTGTTTAGAATGTTTTTCTTAATAACACTAACATTTGAGAATCTCTAATATGCTGTATAGATAATTATCTGCAAATTCATCTATTTCTCAGTATTATCCTCTGGTTTATTTCTGATGTTCACCGAAGCAGATTTGTAAATTAATATGAATATGAAATAGTCTATAGAAAGTTTCATGGCATTATCTCTTGAAAGCAATTATCCAAGAAGGGTTTTTATATCTGAGTCAGTCTTGCAAGTGAATCTCATATACTTTTTGAAAGGAAATAATTTTTCTCATTATGAAAGATATATTTATTTTTGGAAATACAATACTATTATATCTGTTCTTACTTGAGTCCTTAAATCTATAACTTGATTTGCTTATACTAGCAGAACATCTCAGTTTTAGATTTAGATTCTGAGCATATTAATGAATTCTGTATAATGTTTGGACTCTTCATGTTTTGTCTTTCAGAGTACTCGAGTGGCATTGGACCATCTGGAGTCTGTACCTGAGAAACTAAGCCTACTGGAAGATTTCAAAGACTTTCGAGTGAGAAAAAGTTGGCTTGTCTCTTTCAGTATATTTTACCTGCATGAGAAGACTTGACATCTTCCTGATGTGCAGAGGAAATTGTAGGAAGGGAAGACATGCCAAAAAATGCTGGGGACTTTTTAACAGTGCATCCTGTTTATTGACATTTGTGAAGTCAGGATTGCAAACAAAACTTAAGTTTTGGCAGAATATTGGAAAATAGAGTCTCTTACCCTAGGACTAGAAGTTCACTTGCCCCACTAAAGCTATAATAATGATTTAGTAAAACCTGACAATTAAAGGCAATTACCATTACATTGACAATAGATAACTTTTTGGTTAGTAAAATTTTAACTTGTGAAGTATCTTCATTTTTACAAACTGCTGTTTTTGAGCTAGAATACTTCACAAGTTATTGCTATACTATAATACATCAATTCAAGCCTATAATAGAGTTTTAGATACCATATCCCGTGCCATTTATTGATAGAACTCTAACCACAAAACATTTCAGTATAAACCAGTTAATTGCCATTGTGGATTCACCTACTGCAAATGTATTAGTGGCTCACAGAAGGGAGATGCAAACAAATATCCCTGCCATCTAGTCCTGCCATAAGAGGCTCTGGCCAGAGAACCTCTTCATAATCCCCTTAGGAATGCAGATGTAGGATTTTAGCAATTTGTATTTTAGTTGCTAGGATCAATATAGTTAAAGTGACACATATAAATAAGTGACCAAAGCTAACAACTGTGACTTTTTCTCTTTGGAAACCATGTAACATTTTGTTTTACATGGACCTTAAAAAATAGCTGAATGAAGTTCTGTTTGACATATTATTTCAAGATTCAATGTGAAGGAAACATAGCTAGATTATATCATATGGATTTATTGAAAGCACTGATTTTTTGTGGTTCTCAAAGCCTACATTGTTTTAAAATTAACTTACACAAGACATTTTTTTTTTGTAATTTGGAAATTAAACATTTTTCAGACCCAAGATTTAAGCTGACACATCCTGAAATCTAGACTAGTACAAATAGGGCAAAACCACATGTTTCCAGTATATTTTTAAAATTCTGAATCTTTCTCCTAATTTGATTATATTTTTCAGTTTAAATCCCAATGAAAATTATGAAACCAGAATCCAAGACCATATAGTTTCCATGACCCATACAGAACCCTGTGTGCATAGCGGGACTATGTCATACCCATATCCTGTCCCTATTTGCTCCTTAGTAACCAAAGTCACCTAAGTAAATGAAAAGGACTGCTAAGAGGTAGTATTGAAACAGGTGGCACTTGCTTAGAAGCAGGTGTCTGTTTAACAGTAGCATAAAAAATAGAGTTTAACCTCCAGTGACAACGTACTTTTCCCCAGTGGTCTTCACCAAACTCAGTATTCATAAGTACAATTCAAAAATTGTGTTCTCTACTATTGCTGAAAGGTTTATCATTATTCTGATCCTAGATAATTGTCAAGTAGTTAATTATCTACAAGTCTATTTGTACAAGTTAGACATATGTAATTATCTACAATTCTAGCGTTTGTGTGTGTGTGTGTGTGTGTGTGTGTGTACATATACTGACATGGAAGTGCCTTTACAATGAAATTTTAAGGTTTTTTTTCCCAAAATTCAGAGCAATACTTTATAATACATTAAAGTGAAGCCTTCAGCTTGAAAGGGAAAGATTAATTAGCAAATATATACATACTATGCAGCAAACAGTAGCTAAATACATTACAATTTTGTAGTCTTCAGTGATACCCAATGTGGATTATTTTCCCTATTTTACAGATGAGGAAACTGAAGCTTAGAGTATGTCAGTTAGCTAGACATGGATCTAATTGTTTCTGCTTTCCTTTGCCATCTGTTGAAGCCCATTTGTTTAAATCACTTTCATGAAAACAGACATAAGCTTAGATGAAAATCTATAAAGCCTTTAGATTAATAGAGATGGATTTTATATTTCAAATCTCTAAAACTTTGTAACCATTAGCAAGCTGTGAACAAATAGGCAGAGCCCTAAATTCTTGTCACTCTTCCCATTCTTTGCCTTGTTTCACTGACCCCTCCCGTCTGCAAGCACTCTAATTCCATATGTAAATATCATGTCCCTGATAAAAAGGAAAAGGAGTAAGATTGGATTCCAACCCCAATCTACCACAAATTACCTAGCTCTAGGCAAAAAAACTCATAACTTCCATGAGTTTCATTTTTTGTTTTTCTCATAAAAATGGGAACTTTGGAATTCTGATTCCCATCCAACTTGAACATTCAGTGGCCCTTAAGATTCCTCCCAACTATTTGAGGTGCTAAATGCCATACATGATTTTTCTTACCAAAATCAGTTGCCCTTCTTTTTTTTCCTAATTTTTCCCTAAATCATAAAAATGATATCTAAATAAGTGGCTACTGATTCTGTGTTATGTTTCGTCTTTTTCCAAAAAATGAAAGGGAAAAAAGGAAGGCCTAGAGAATTTTTGGTCTCTTACTTTATTTCCTGAATTTTTTTGTGCTTATGAAAGCAAATGAGATATCCTTCCATTTAAAACTGAGTAGGACATTAAGTTTAAAAACAGAACATTAAAACGAAGTGACATAAAGGCTTTCGTTTTAAAAATAGCATTCTTTTTCTTTTAACAAGAATATTTGATCCCAAGTACTATTTTAAAAGACAATATGCAACATCCGAAATTGTATGTCACTAATGACCATGTTCAGATGACTAATTGTCACTCAAACCTCCTTCCTTTCAACTAATGGATACAAGCCATTTCAGAATGGTGTTGGGCTAGTTGTAAAGAAAATCTAACCAATATGGGATATTTATGTTACCAATATGTTATGTTACTGTCCACAGTCACCATTTTCTTTTTTTCTGCTATTTGTTTTCGCCTATATGTATTTCTAAATTACCATAATCATTTGTTGTGCACATTTCTGTATTTTTACACTAACTTCAAACACTGATTTTTTTTCTTTCAACTACTAGTGTAGACTCTTTTTTTGTTGTTTATTTTTTCCAGGATTCCTGCTACTCATCTGAAAGAACTGATGGCAGATATTCTAAATACAGAGTTCACAGAGATTCTCTTAGGCACTGCCATGATGACATCAGGTACAAAGTCAAAAGTTTGAAGGTAATGCTCTTTCTTTACATTTGTAGTCTTTGAGTGTTATTCTTGTTTAAGCCCACAACCACTTAAATAGCCTGACAGTGTTGGCGTAAGGACCCTTGTGAAAGAAAAACATTTTCCTTGAAGATTATGCTTATCATTTTTGATGTGGAAACTAAGTCTCTGACACTCTTAACTCTGTGTCTTTGAGAACTGATGCTGCTCAAGATATCTTGAACCAGAAAACTTCTGGTCACTTCGGTGATCAAAGTATTGGTGTGGATAACTGCCCTCCTTTATGTGTAATTCCAGCTGCTCTTAGCACTGAAGTCCCTTAAAGGTCAAATAACACTCAGTACTTTGTAAACTGTAGTCTTAGCACTTTCAGTCATTCTTCTCCTGGTTATGTGGACTCCATGCTATACTTTAGCTTATGATTTGCGAACACAAAACCAACTAATGTACAGAAGTCTGGGAAAATTTGACCATATTGACAAAACGTATACCATTACCTAGACTGCCCAATATCCATTTGTGGTTGATGATAAACCTATTGGCAATAGCTCTTACCCCAGAGCAGTTTCTCAAACTGAGGAGCTTCACATTTCACATAATTTGCTGTAGAAGCTAAATTATGCATCATGGCATGTTTAACAGTATCCTTGGAGTCTACTCACTACATGTCAGTAGTGACATCTCAGATGGTGACATCAAAAATGTCTCCATATACTGCCAGATATCTCCTGAAGGACAAAATTGGCCCCTGTTAAAAACATTGACCTAGAGAGGCTCCATTATATTCAAATATGCCCTCAAAGACAGTTCCCCCACTCAAGTAAATAAAGTCTTTCTGACTTCCCTTATGTTATGATTTGTATTTGGATGTCCCCCAAATCCTCATGTAGTCATGGAGGTGCCAGATCTAGCATTTGCAATTGGTTCATTGTCTAATGTTGGGATTGGTGGTGTGAGTGCTGCATTGCACTGTGAGCCGGCATACAGTATAAGGGAGGAAGGGAGGCATACTTTTTCTTCTTTGTCTTGTTTGGTCTTTCCACCTTTAATATCTGTTGCCACCACAAGCAGTTGCCCCTCAGCCATGCCACCTGCCTTGGAACCAGCTGAATATGGACTGAAACCTCCACAAACTGTGAGCTAAACAAACTTTTCCTTCCTTCCTTTTGGGCATTGGTATTTTGTTCCAGCAATGAGAGAAAAATAACCAAGACACTTTATATTCTTACAAACTTGAATATTTATGAATATTTATTACTCTGTATGTATTCATTAATTTTAGCCAAATAAAATTATTTCCATGATGCTTCCTCCCTCTACAGAATGTAACTGTATATAATACTCAGTGAATATAAAAGGCGTAAGTCCTCCTTAGTACACACACTACACGTCCTCCATCCCAAACAGAAATTCACAGTTATGGGACATTATTGATAGCTTTTTTGAGAAAAGGACTTCTTATGATTTTTTTTCTTTCTACTTTTGTTTTTATAGATAGGTGTTATTGACTGTAGAGGTAAGCATATGTCTCATGTGGCAATTTTTAAATTTCCTCAGTCATGCTGCAGCATTCTCATCAGGTCTCATATACTCAAGCAAAGATTTATACATTAGCAGAAAAACAAAGTTTAGGCAACAAGAGCTAATGACAATCACTAATGATTGACCATGTGTTAGAACAAATTACATGAAATCGCCCTTTTGTAGGTATTGAGTGCCTTATATGTATTATCATATTTAATCTTCACAGCAACCCTGGTGTGTTGGAATCATTATTTTTCTCCACTCACTAGTGAAAAAAGTAAGGTTATAAACTTAGTAAGTTTTGTACTTGACTGATATACTATTGCTCTGTGTGTGTGTGTATTTTCTTTCTTTTTTTTTTTTTTGTACTGGGGATCAAACTTGCAACCTCATGCTTGCCAGGCAGGTGCTTATGCCACTGAGCTAAATCCCTGGCCATACCGTAATATAAACTTAGACCTCTTATCTCTTAAGCTTTCTAAAAGTCACAAATGTAACATTACATTTCAGTATGTAAAAGTTTTCTTCAAAAGTACAGAAACATGACACATATCTCTTAGTTTAACAGAGGTCTAGATGCGAGTGAAACACTGAAAACATTATTTCCAAATACAGCTATATTTGCTATCAGGTGAGTTGGTGCTGTGTAGTGGGACTCAGATTGCTGTAAATCACTGCAATTTCCATAACAGAAAATGGCAAGGCTATGAATGTTTAACATTTTCAGCTGGTAAACTCATTGAAGTTCTGTTTAATATTACATTTGTGGACGAAGACAAAATCAGGCCTGGTTTATACCATAGGCCAACACTTGGCAAAGTGAGAGTCAAGTTTGAAAGCTTAGCAAATAGATAGTACAGGTGTACAAAGGATCACGAAGCATATTTATGACGGCATTGTTCCACAGTAATATTACTAAAACATTTTACAACTTTTCCATTTCATTGATGACTACATGGACTTGCTACAGTAATCTAACCTAAAACTTGTGGGAATATCACATATTTTGTAGTCATTGGAAAGGAAATGTGGAACCACACTTTTTACTAGTTGTGGATACCAACAGTTATTTGATGATACTATTTTCATGAAAATAAGCTACTCAAAGGAACTGAGAGGCAAAACAGCTTCTAGAGAAGCTTGTGGTTAGGTGGGTTGTAAGAAAGCTAGTTTCTTAGCTCTGCAGATAATTAGTACTACTTCTGATTAATCATTGGTATGCTGAAAAAATGCTATAAATAAGAGAAATTGGAACTATAAAGAGAGAGGTATCTATTCAAGGTAGTATCAATTTAATAAGATACTATTTCATCAGTTTATAAAATGCTCCATTTTCTAGGACAGAGTTTTTAAAATGATACATTATTGGAACTTCAGTTCAGTGGTTCTGCTTAAAACTTTATGTGATGCCAGGAAATCAGATACTATAGAATTCATTTTAATTAAGTAAACATATTACAAGTATCATAATCCAAAACACTGTACCACCTGTTGGGTATGAAGGTGGAGGACAGGCGTATAAAGATGCAGAGGGCATGATCTTAAAAAAGCAATAGTTACTATATCATCTTAATTCTAACAGATAGCTCTTGCATAGTTGTTCTACAACAGATGTCAGCAAACTGCCCATAGCTTTGGTCTTGCCTGCCAACTGTAGTTATAAATAAAATTTTATTAGATGACAGCCATTCTCATTCATACACTGTCTATAGCTGTCTTTGGATACTACTTTACTGTGAGACTGAGTAGCACAAAGGAAATTGTATGGCATACAGAGTCTAAAATTTTACTGTCAGGCCCTTTTTAGAAAAATTTGCCAACCCTTGGTCTATCAAAAAGAATAATTAGAGTTCGAGACCAGCCTGGGTTACAAAGTGGACTCAAGGCCAGCCTGAACTACATAGCGAGACTCTGTCTCAAAAAGACCAAAAAAGAAAAGAATAATTAGAATACTAATCTTTTTTTCCTTTTACACGTTATATGAAACACTTTCTTTTGTTAACTTTCCAGTTAAAGAAATACTAATAAATAAAGCACTGTGCTGGGGATTCAAGAGAAGGGCATATTGAGAGAAATCTTTAAACCCTTGGAAATTTAAAGCCTTTACACAAACATTGATTGTGCAAAGAAGAACAGGGTAGTTGGAATAAAGGTGGTTCCTATAAACTTCATTGGTAGTTAGAGGAAAGAAAGATGCTTGAGTCTTTTTTGAACAGAGACTTGTGATGGTAAGGCAGAGGGAAATGTTTTATCCACATCTTACTTTGGAAGAAGTTATTCTCTTTTCGGTTGTACAACTCTGACTATACTGCTGTGGACAGACAAGTCACTGTTACAATAGCAGAACATTATTGGCAACCAACCTGTCATGTTGTTGCTGTTGTAAGAAAGCAGCGATACATCCAGCATGCCCATGTTACCCTTAGAGAGAAAGTTTAGCAGAAGTAAAGCAAGTCAAGTTCTCATTCAGTGCAAGGCCAGAGCTGATCTGCTGTTTATTCCCAGGCAATCTCCAGGACAACAGTGATCAGATTTCTAGAAACCTGTTGAGATTTTGAGTAGTGAGAACATGCACAATTATAAGAACATAATGTTATATAAAAATACAATAATATAATATTACAGTAAGTTACCAGGCTGTTTGAACAACGCCTGATCTGAAGGTTTATAGTTAGAATTCAATTCCAAGCTGAACTTAACACATTTTCACTGACTCTCTGTAGACTAAAGAAACATTGCATGGCCTCTTTTCCATCCAGCCTAATTGAGTTTCTGAAGGACATACAGGCTTCCTTGCTGTCCCAGCTGTTTCAAATAGAACAGAATGTCCAAAAGTCAGCCAGTTACACAGCATTGCTAATCTGAATTCACAGAGGAGTACAATTTTGTCCAAAAAAAAGTCCTTATTTTGTTACCTTAGTAAAATCACAGAAGACCCAATTTTTCCTATTCGTCTTCTTCCTGAAAGGAAAATCATTATTTTTAACTTCTGACTGAAGAGCTGATATGTAACAACTTTTTAAAGACACAAACATTGTTAAGCACAAGATGAGGTAGCTGAGGAAGTGTTGATAATGTCTTTCAGCAGCCAAAGTTCTTTGTCATAGTGGGTCAATGTAAACATGTGTGTGATGTAAATACATATTTTGCTGCTGGAAGTCATTTTCCCCTCATTGAATCTCACTGTGATTTGTTTCTGCCTTGCTCACAGCAATCAATGGCTGTTAGCACTTTCTCTCTAGAGTCAGCTATTTCTGACTTAAGTCTTCTATAACCATAATTTCTAAAGCACACTATACATAACTGCTGGTGCAACTCAAGATAGTAGATGGTGAATAAACGTGTGTAGTTTAATGATTATCAAATCACATCACCAGTGTATTATTCGTCTGACTTTACAGATATTTCTTAGGAATAATAGTAGCAAACATGAGGAAATTTGCAGATACTTCACTACTATGATTCCCCAGTTATCTCATTTATAG